TGGCAGGCGATCCCGATCCCGTCGGCCTGGGCTGCAGTGCCACTCTGCAGGGAGCCTTCCCCGAGCAGCAGGGACAGGCAGTGGCAGGGACAAGGAGTGGCGGTTGATCCCACCCCGGCTTGGGTCCCTGTGCCAGCTTCACCCCCCTCCACCCCCGGCCGCCGCTCGCTCACGCCTGGTGGTGCCAAAAATGTGGCGTGCAATTCCCTGACCAAATAAGGCGAGAACAACCATAAACAGGGACCCCCCTCGCACAGCCACGCACCAGGGTCCCCGTCCCAGCCCAGGACAGGCTGGAGAAGAGGAAAAGTACCGAGGGAGGGAGGAAGATGGGAGACCCCCAACCCCACTCTGGCTCTCCCCGCTGCTGCTCAAGGTTGGGGCGGGTCAGGGGAGGCCCCCATAGATGGGCTGTGTGCAGCTGCCTGCACTGGCCCTGGGGGGGGGGCAGCCTCCTGCTTCCAACTTCGTTCTCCAGCAGTGTCAACTCATCCCAAAACTGACTGCAAAAGTGCCCTCATTCCCCACTGTCATCCTGCCAGCTGGCACACGGAAGAACCTCCAATGCCCTGACACCCACTGAGAACCCAGGAGGGGGCAGAGAGGAGCCCTGGGGTACCTCTGCAGGGTCGAGCGAGGGGGGGGCGGCCAGCCAGTCCTGCCAGCTCAGGGCAGGGGGCAGAGCCATGGTCTGAGCTCATGGCAGGGACAGATGTCCCCTCCCCTTGGGGCTGGACCCACAGCCACCAGCTCCTCGCCGCATAGCTGAGCCCATGTGTCACGAGTTGCCTGTTTACCGCCCCGTGCCAAGGCAGGTGCCTGTGCCAGCTCCATTTAGCCACTCCCAGTCCAACCCTACATGCTCACCACAGGCTGGGACCTCCTTGCCAGCCTGAGCACCCAGAGTCCCCACCCTTCCCAGCAAGGCCAGCCACCCACAGCTCCCAGTTGGAGTAGGCAGTGACCTTCAGGGTCACTGGGGACCGCAGCTGTCCCCAGCCTGGAGATGCCTGTCCAGGCAAGGCCAGGAAAGCTCAGGCATCTGCTCAGCCACAGGTGGCTTCGCTGTCAGGACAAGGGCCCAGCACTCTTTGACATACAAATACTACCTGTTCCTGCCAAGCAGGCCAGGGCAGCCAACTCACCACAGCCAGGCAGGTGCTCAAGGGGCTTTTACCAGCTCCAAGCTATGATGCAGACACTCCAGGGCCAGTGAGGTGTCCTCATCTCCCAGGGGAAACTGAGGCACGGCGACATCCTGCCATGAGCAAGCTCATGGGTTTGGATTTCCCAGAGCTCTGGGGCATGAATGAGGGCTGGATCCTGCTCCATGCAAACAGGACTTCAAGTGCAAAAGCACCAAAAAAAGTGTGAGATCCCTGGCACCACTGGCAGGAGGGAAAGTCCATAAGATCCTCCTCTCCCATCCCGTGGCACACTCCTCCAGCAGCAGCCACCTGCCCCTAGCTCTGCTGCCCACCGGTGTCCCATTCTCCAAGGTGACAGGCATTTCTGCAGGAAAGCTTTGGCCACCGACCGCCCCGTGAGCCCTAACCTTTCTCCAGGTGCTTGCCAGGCAGGGGTGGCTCAGCCCAGGCACCCTCCGTGCTCTCCTCACGCTGGATGTTGAAGTTCTCATAGGAATCCCACCGGATAAGCGGGTCAGACGTGTTGTAGTCCACAGAGACACTGGGCCCATTCTCCAGGTGCTCCATGCCTGGGAAGAGGTGGGACAGTCAGCTGGGGTTACAATGGAGCCAGTGTGGGTGGGATGGAGGGAGAAGATGGAGGGAAGGTACAGGCAAGAAAAAGAGAGCAGGAGCTGTAGGGCAAGGCAGCATAGTCAAACAGGAATGGGAACACTGAGAAGGATGGATTGGCATGGGAGGTACATCAACACCCACAAACAAGGCATACAAACAAGGCTGGGGCTCTTGGGATTGCCTAGGGACTGGACTGAAAAGTGAGTGTAGGTCTGGACCTTTTGGGTGGGGGGGTCATTCCTTCCCAAACAATCCCTCCCTTTCTCCGGGGCCAGCAAGTGCTACAGAGAGAAGACTCCTGGAGAAGACAGCAAGGGCAATAGGGCACCCGTGGGTGTTCCTAGATCAGCATCACTGCTTGGACCCCTCATCCCACCCCGGGTGACAAAGGGACTGCAAATGGGGCAGGGAGAGTTCACAAGGGAGGCAGCAGGGGATACAGGTGGGGAGCAGGAGAGGAGCCAGCATCCAGCTCCAAACCCCTGCAGTGGTGAGCCAACCATACCTTGGATCTTCTCAGGGCCATAGGAGAACACAAACTCCACCTTCCCATACTCAGGGAAGCGGTCATCTGGGAGGGAAGAGCAGAGCAATGAGATCATCTCCATTGATTCCTCTGATGGCACCCAGACAGTCACTCCAAACATGCCCGGAGCAGAGGGCACCCACCCCAGCCAGCAGAGGATGGGAGCTGATAGGGGATATCCCAGCATGAGGCAGCACATCTCAGCTCCCAAACAACCAAGTACATGGATGGAGCAGGGGTGCCCTGCTTCATCGGGGTGGACTGGGGGTGGGTGCCCAGATGTCCCAGCAATTGGAGTGCATCAGAAGAGAGGGAGGAGGAAGGAGTTTGGGTGGGGAGGTGCTGTGCTGGGGTGGTTACCTCTGAAGGCCTCGTCCAGGTCCTCCTTGCCAAAGACGACGTCAAGGTCATGCACGGCACACGTGTGGAACTGCACACGGAAAATCACGTCACGGGTCGGGCTGCGAAACTTCTTGTGGTAACACTTCAGCTGTGAAGGGGAGCAGGAACCAGCCATCAGGACAAGCCCCTGGGGCTGGGCAAGGGGGAAC